ATTAAATGAGTACCTGCGCTAAGAGCGCACAACTTTTAATCGAATGCGTCCATGAATGCAAGACATGGATACGTTCAATCTTCGAGACATGTACGCAAAATGTCTTTGAAGATATTTGGCTAATTTGCTTGAAAATGTCTATGAAGACGGCATACATTTGGATCGATCGGTCTTCAGGCATGTATTCATATATTGAAGATGTCTTCGATAACGGATCGATCTGTTTCCTACTGGATAATTACTACACGTCACATACGTATGCAATATTACATTCGCAAGTACGTACATATTAACGTTTTTATGTATGGACAATATTCGATGTTAGATTGCAGCAATAGCAACTAAAGATTTCTTTTTAGTCTTATTAACTAATATACGTCGCGTTTTGTTTGAAAGCATTTATACGTTTTTACATTGATGTCATCTTACATCATACAACACAAATCACCGAAATCTATCTTTTACTTTTTTCCTTTCATAGCTTTATTATACTTTAAGAATTCATCATCGAAGGCAGTAAATAACAACAACATTACAATAGTCAATACCAACACCAACAAATGTTTGCCTGTGTTAATGCATTGTGTGTGTGAAGATGTGTATTAAGCACGTATGTTTTTGTTTCCTTGAATTTCATCGTTTTTTAGTTGTTTTCGACACAAGAATACGAAAAACAACAAAGTAAATATTTTCTGTCAAACACAAAATTAACCACAATTATAACAGAAATTATATTATCTGTTCATATTAAAAAATTTTAATTTACTTCTTATTTTAATGAAGTCATATATATATATATATATATATATACAAGTATAATACTCAGTATAATACTCAAGTATACAAGTATAATACTCAGTAAAAGAGAATGGGTTTTCTGGGGTTTTCGGGAATGCTTCATTTCCCATTGGTTTTTTGTTTTTCTTTATTTCATGCGTAAATGAAATTATGAATACTTTATTTAACACCTACTTTATTAATATGAATATTAATAGATTTAATAATATTCCCCCATTTTTTTTTCTTAATTAATAAACATTACATAAATAATTTAAAATTTAAAGAATTAAAAAACAGGCATTATCGTACATGAACTGTAAAATTATTTGCGTAGTTTAAAAGCACAAAACTAAACATAAAGACGTTCCTGTGTGTGGGTGTGTGAGTGTGTGAGTCTACAACGAAAGAGAGAAAGAAGGAGAGTGAAGCTCTTTTGGCTCTTGTCATTTGTGATCTTATTATGGATAATTTTACATTGCTACTTTCTTTGAATATTCATTTGATTAAAGGGGGAGAGGAGTGCATATATATTTCAAACATACATGAAGGGCAAATATGGAGGCAATTGCCATTAGTTTATTCAACAATATTCAACTTACTTTGGTAGATTGGCCAAGTAACGTGATTGCTTCTCGCGGCGTAGCTCATCGGTGAGACGACAATAAGTGTTGTTAATACAAACGCTGCGACGTAAATTCGTTTCAGAGTCCTTGATGCGTTCCAATTTATGTGCGCAAAGTTGTAAAATCCGTTTGCGTTCTTCACGCTGACGCAGCTTTGGAGATATCATTGGCACACGCGAACGATGGTGGTGGTACCCGATAGGCGGTGACGAGCGCGGTGGTCCGAACATATCAGAATCGTCGTCGCAACCATTTAAAGTGGTTGTTGTTGGCAAGGTCATTGTTTGGCTTGAACTATTTTTGCAATGCTGCAGTAACGCAGCCTGAGGGCATTGATCGCGTTACACACGATCTCGATTATGAGCCTTTGGATAGTATTCTACGTCTTTAGATTTCCTTATTAGTTATTGTTAATACACAAAACCGTTTTATTTATTTCCGCACTTTTTTTATATTTTTTATAATATAGTTGTTTTTCTTTTGTAAAACTACTTTTTTGCTTAAACTTTCACAGTTGTCAATTGCAATGAGGCAACCAAATCAATCTATTGAAACCCAATTTAACTTTTTATTTTTTTTGTCAATAATCATGCATTCGAGGAAGGTCGTTTCATGGAAGAAAAAAATCAGTGGCTTTCTGCTAAATCAGTTATTCAAACAGAATATAAATTTTTTGGTATTTTCTAATTAAATTCAAAATAATCCAGTACTTTCGAACTTTTATCAGTTAAATAAGAATTTGAAATATTAATTATAACAAGCATTTACAGTTTTTTATTTCCACTGATAATGCTTAAACTTGTTTTTAATTTTTGCACTTCACCTCGCACAATTCGCAATATATTGATTAACAACTTATTTCTTGGTGTTAGTTACAAACTAATTTTTGAGCACTGCGCATTCCGTATCAGAAATTTACCTCCACACAATTCTCACGACCGCAATCAAATGAACACAGCACCAACTCCGAAACGTTATTCGCCTCGGTTGACTGCGACCGACTAAATAATTTGACAAGAAATATGCACAATGAAGTAAGGAAAAGAAATGAGAAACGGAAGCATTCCGCCCGTTCTCAGGGAGTATAGTTAGCAAAGAGTATTGAACAATTAAATGAGAAATATTACTTTTAAGAGCCTTAAGAGCGGTTATATACCTAATAATAAATAAACATTATCAAATACTAATGCAGATACACATTTCCACATATTTGCATTAAAAAATATTATTTCAATAATACTTTGGAAAGTACTATTAAGTTGAATAGGGATTAAAACAATTAATAATAAAGGAGTCAGGGAATTTAAGAGTCATGCCTTGTTAACTAAAGAAGGTTACGTTTTACTTGATTACTTATCTGTGTGCATGCATATCTGATATTTGTTAGTTGGGCTTCTAAATACTTTTACAGAAACAATTTTTGTGTTAGTCAATGAATTTATACATAATTCTACAATCTGTGGAATAATAAATGATGTTTATCAATAATAGCAGAATCTATTTGAGACGCAGTTTTAAAAAATACTTCTTTTCAATGCAATATAGCACAGTTCTTTTCGCCCACCGCTTTTTTATGAAATTTAAATTATGAACATGAATTCTGGCGGTTCATACTAGGCGTTGAGTATATACTCAATGCATTAGGACACACTCGTCCGACACAAACATTCACACATTCGTTTGCAGACATCACATTGACTCTACTTCACTGAATCTGCTCTACATACATTCATTACTTGATGTCATTTAAGAAATGCAGCCTTCCCAAGTCCTTAAATGGCAATGTTACAATTTAAAACAATAATTATTTAGGATAAGCTATAATAAACATTTAATTCCACACTAAAGGTTACACCATTTCTCCATTGAGAGTATTACTTATTCACGGTATTAAATTTAAACCAATTTTCTCTTTTCTCTCTGCTGCTTCTGTTCTCACTCTCACTACCTTATAGAAACAGTTTTTAAATTAACTGTTTCCATACCGTGGAGGTTTTTTAACCTTTTTGTTGCTATATTTGTGTTTGTGTTTTATTTTCGTTTTGCTTTTGAATTAAATGTCAATTTTTTAATTTTTTTACAAACATAAGGAAATAAAGTGTCTGTCATTTTTGATTAACTATAAACAATGTTTTGTTTTTAAATTGTCCTCTTGTTTGGCTTAGTGTCTTTGTGGTACTGGTAAATAAAATAAAACTAATGCTCAAAAGTAGTGGCCTGATTTGACGACGAGTAACTTTTTTCTCCATGCTCTGTGTCGTCATGGCTTAGTTTAGAGAAATAGAGAAATTGGGCTTTAAAGTTGTAAGATATTTACATACATGGATAACACAAACGACCCATAGGGACAAATTTAAAATCATGCATGCATATTTCTCTGAAACCATGGAGGCTTGGTAGTGGTTAAAGGATTTGTACGTCAATGATAAATGA